GAGGTATTTCACATAGCTTGTGAAAACAAAACAAAACAAAACAAACAAGCAAACAAACAGAAAAACACCAAAACCCAAAAAAAAACCAAGATAACCAAACCAGATTTATAAAATTATTAACACAGGGTCATAATGCAAAAGTAATACCAGGAGCCAGAAGGACTTCTGCAAGTGGTATACATAGTAGGCACATTTGTAAATACGATTTACTTGTTGCAGGAATATACTCCAGTTAACAACGCTTCTCTGAGAATCCACACTTGTGACTTGAAAGCAAGGTTCAAGAAGGGTGAGAGAGGAAATGAAAGTTCCTCTGTTTCACTTGTGTGACCCCAGCCACAGCCTGGGAACTAAGGAGGAAAGAACTCTTCTGCTCAATGTTTCTGCTGCAGGAGACAAGCCATGAGTTCACAATTGCAAAATATTTGTGTGTATTTTATTCTTTTTACTATCACATTTCTGAGTCTGTAGAACTGACTCAGGCTAAAAGTATGATGGAACTGTGCTTCTGAAATAAAACTTACTAAAAGAATGAACTGATGATTTTCTCCTTAGTTTAGGTTAGTTTACCACTTTTTATTTGTGTTTTTTACTTTTCACATACAATTTCTTGATATTTCTTCTGTTATCTTTTTTTGTGGAAGTTAGAAAAGCTATTCTGCTAGCTGCTGAATTGTAGTGCTCCATCAATCTGCTTTGTAAGCTCTAAAAACTCATGGATCAATGTGATACGGACATGGGATCAAAGGCAGAGTTTCTGAATTCGTCTACAGGAACGTAATGCACAAGGGATATTCTACAGACCCAATGATTCGTAAGGCTCATGACTCAGTTGAAATTTCCTTTTCTGATATAATACACAAGTCCTAGAGCAACATTTTGTTGTTTGGTCCAGCTGTTAACCTAGAACTTCTAAGTCCACCACTAAATCACACCCCTGAGTGCCACATCTACACAGGAACGGTGACTTAGCCATTTCCCTGGGCAGCCAGTTCCAATACTTGACAACTATTGTCGTGAAGAAATTTTTCCTAATATTCAATCTAAATCTCCCCTGGTACAACTTGAAGCCATTTCCTCTTGTCTTATTGCTTGATATTTGTGAGAAGAGACTAACATTCACGTCTCTTCATCCTCCTTTCTGTAGTTGTAGAGAGCAATGCAGTCCTCCCCCCACAGTCTCCTTTTCTCCAGACTCAACAACCCCAGTTCCCTCAGCTGCTCCTCATAAGACTTGGGCTCTAGGCTCTTCATCAGCTTCATTGTCCTTCTTTGGGCATGTATTTCTATTGCTGATGTAATTTCTCTTTTTAGAATACAATTACGTTATAAAGCCAGTACATGCTAAGCAGGTCCTCCATGGAATGAAGCAGATCTCTTTCATCTCAGGATTTGACTTCAAGAGTTTTTTTAGTCTATTAATTTGAGCAGTTTTACATGCTAAAAATAGTAATCAAATCTAACAAACCTAAAGCTCCTAAATCTCTTTTGCCCAGATGATGTAGCTATTTTAGGTAATATTTGATTTATATATATGCATCACACAAGTTTGTATGAAAATGGTGAGACAAACTTTCAGACAAGCTTCTGCTCTAAGCTCAATCTTGTCCAACTGGTTTTCTATCAGTCTCAAAGATTGCCATTTTGTGATTGTAACTTTTTTTTTTTGGTGAAGTGAAACATTAAAAAAACTAAAAGCAAGAGTGAAGGGTAGCCAAAAGATATTTGATAGCATATAATAGGTTCAGTAAATGTGGAACTGCTGTGCATCAGGAATTCTGCAACAGCCTCTTTGCCTCTTTGACTTTCCAAGAGTTACATTATTATAGATAAGCACTGTTATTTTCCAAGTGATGTTTTTCTGATAAGGTAGTGTTTTTGTCAGTAGAAGATAGTAGGAGTTAACACCTGGGAAAAGTCCATCTGCCTCGACCTTAGAGAACTCAAGGTCCTACACTTAGGAGTCCTATAGAAAATGAGCTTTTCTCCATCTGTCTGCTTATAAAGAATTATCTTATTTTTAATTATTTTCTCTTATCAAAACATCTCCAAATGATGTTGGAATAGTACTGTATGTAATTGTCAGTGAAAGAAGTGGGGGTAAACTGGAAGATAGAATTTGGTTTGCCATCCCAAACCCTTTTCAGTCATCCTAAAACAACCTCCCTCAATTAGAATTCGCTTGAGAAATGAGAGAAAAGACTAAGCAGTAAGGGAGAGGTAGCATATCCAACTTGTCTTGATTCAAGAGGAGGAGGCAATTGGTGCTGTAGGCCTAGAGGGGAAATGCAGACAATTGGTAGTGCAATTCAAAAAGTGTTTGGGACATCTGGGGTTGATTGAAAGCTTTACTGGAGATTTCCTGTGTAAACAAGGAATGCACTCAATCTCCGTATGACTCAGTTTCTTCTCTATAGAACAGGGAAAATAGATGGTATTGTAAGGGTAGATGTTCTAAAGATTGCTCAGATCACTAAAAGGGCTATAGAGTGGGGATTTTTATCCGTAATCCTGCCACCCCTAGAGAGGTTCTGAGACCATCTTAGCCAGTCCTATAGCATGTCACTTGCTTGCCCAATCTAGTGTACAGCCTGTGAAAAGAAGAATGAAATTACAGCAAAACAGATTTACCAGCTATGATCATTAAGTGTATATGGTATGGTATGGTATGGTATGGTATGGTATGGTATGGTGTGATGTGGTGTGGTGTGGTGTGGTGTGGTGTGGTGTGGTGTGGTGTGGTGTGGTGTGGTGTGGTGTGGTGTGGTGTGGGATGGTGTGGGATGGTTGGTTCCAGGTCAGATGAGTTTTGAACAACTTGATCTAGTGGAAGGTCTTCCTGCCCACGGTAGGGGGGTTGGAACTACATGATCTTTAAGGTCCCTTCCAACCCAAACCATGCTATGATTCTGCGATTCTGAGTCTGTGGTTCCATGATCCTATGATTCTATGGTGTGGTACGGTATGATGTGGTAAAAAAAGTACCGATTTAGCAGTGATTCTCAATTTTTTTGGCAGTGCAACCTATATACATTTCCTCACAGCATGCAGCCGCCCATATAGCACATACATAGCAACTGACAGCAGACTTGTTTTTCGCCTATTTCTCAGATGTAGTCGGCGGCTGCCTTCCTCTCCTCCCTTCCAGGGACCGCAGCCTGCAGGACTCCTGCGAGCATCCCCTCTCCAGCCTGAACTAGCCAAGGCACTCTGAAAGCAAACTTTGCCTTTCTTCTCCGGTTCTTACTGACAGCGGCATTTGGGCTTTTCCGGCAGCGGCGCCCTCGGCGGGAGCGGGGTTAAACCGGGAGTGGAGCCGTGGTGGGTGCGGAGCCGTGGCGGGCGCGGAGCCGCGGCTGGAGTGGAGCCGAGGCAGGAGGGGGGCTGGAGAACGGGTTAGAGTGGCACCCCCGGCGTTAGAGTGCCTGCCCGCTAGGCTGGAGCCCCAGAGGCGCGGCTTTACGCAGCCCAGGAGATGGGTTTCTCCTCAATCCTCCTTCAAGCTCTAGGGTGAAGTTCACTGAACTTCCCAGTGTCGTGCAGGCAGCACAACGTCTATACGCCCTTAAAGGGTATTTCTGAGGGGTGAGGGGAGTGCGGTGCTATCGATGCTCATCTCGCCATTCCAGAGCAGGATGGCTTCTTCGACCTGTAGTTATGTAGTAACAAGGGGAAAATTTCCTGAAATTAGTCTACCGCAGGAACTCTGGTTTTAGTCACAGCTGTCATCCGAGAAACAAATTTCCAGGCATTTTTTAATCTAATTCACTTAATTTTTATGTAACTGAATTAGAAAATGTGATTAAGCATCGCAGAAACTTATTAGAAGTAAGAAGAAATGGTGAAATCATCTATATGGGTTTGGTACAATCGTTACTTACTGAGTAGGAGGATTAGAGGCATAGAAGCTCAAAGGGGGGGGGGGGAGGGAGAGAGAAAAGAAAAATAATAAAAAAATAAAAAGAAGGAAAGAAAAGAGGATAATGACCTCTTTAGCTGAAATTCCTGCTGCCAGAAATTCCTTTGGCAGGTATTTGGGCAGGCACTGAACAGACACGATGCAACACTGAACGGCTCTGCCCTGCCGGCCAGCCCGTGGGTCCCCCTCCCACTTTCCCCGCGTTTCTTTCACTGCTGCCCCCAGACCTCTCTTGAGACAGGGGACTCAAAGGAGAAAATCGAAGGCTTGAAACTATTTGATTGTTCCTTGTTGGGGCAGTGACTCCGGCCCCTAGATGTGGGCTAGAGATACCTTAGCAGGAATACTGCCTTCCTTCCCGCTCACGGGGGCTCAATAAGCTGTCCAGCCGCTCTCCCTTGCGCGCTAGCACAGCGGGTGCCGGCGCTGGGATCAGCGGAGCGGCTACAAGCACCGACGGTGCTTGGATGCACCAAGCGCTGCTTGGATGTGGGGCCAATTTCTTTTCCCATGAACACACACACGTTAAACGAAAAAACAGAGACTGGTAAACACCCTGCCGCCTGTTAACGTCAAGCTAAAGCCCGTAGAAAGATTTGGGGTTTAACACAACTGTCCCTGCTGCGCAGCCCCTGCGGCTTCTGCGAGGGGTGGCCCATAAGACGACGCTCCCCAGGCAGAAGCCACTGACAGGGACGAGCTTGTGCAGGGGCAGCGAGGGACCGGGTCGGTATGTCTACACCGGCTAAGAGCTAGGGAGAGCAACCGTGGGGCCGAGGAGGGAGATCCACAGAGAAACACTGGGGGCCAGAGCGAATGGGCCTTGGGTGCAGGCACGTCCCCTCGAGGCCGCCGCAGATGCAGACAGGGTGCTCGGTGCGGGGAGACCCTGGAGCCCCCGCCAGCTGCCTGCTCTAATGCTTTGCCAGGCGGAATCACGCTGCCAACAGGACCTTGCTACCAGCAAAACTAACTCATTAATATAAATCAAATAATGTCGGGGGGCGGGGGGGGGTGGGTGGGTAGGGGGGGGGTGGAGTGGGGAAGTAGAGTGCGCGGCTGTTCATGAGTTAAATATAAGTCTCTGACTGTCCTAACCAAAGCGACCGTCCCCTTGGGAAGGGTGACGTCTCCACAGTAACGTGATTGCTTCTTCGGAAGCAGAAACGTGTAAACGCTATAAAACGCGGCAGCACGGTGGGCAGCTCAGAGCGTGTGGCGAGACGGAGCTCTCCTCTGCTTCCTCCTCCTCCTCATCCGCCACTTGCTGCCGCCGACGCCCCAGAGCAGCTCAGCCCCGCAGCGGGGCAGGGCGCAGGCCCCCAACAGCGCTCCGCTCCGCTCTGCTCCGAGCTCGCCCAGCCAGCCCCATCGACAGACTCGCGGCTCCGTGAGTAACTTTCTCTCCGCCGCAGCGGCAACTTCCTAGCGGACGGGGAAGGTGTCCCTGTCCGCCGCGCCTTTTCTCCTCTCCTGGACCTGCAGGGAAGGAGCCTCGGCCGTCGAGTCGCCGAAAGCGGGTCTGACCGCCAAGGCAGCCGGGGAGGGACGCTTCCTTTTGACCGCTAAAAAATTAATGTATGTTTTAAGGTCTCTAAGCCCCGCTTGCTGCTGCCCCCAGCGCCCGGCCGGGGGTCGCCTCCGGGGGTGCCAGCTCTCCCTGTCAGCTGCAGCTCCCCCTCCACGGGCACTCCGCTGCTGGCGGCACCTCCCGGGGCAAGGGCAGGGACCGGGTTGGTTGTTCGGCGGCCCGAGGCGCAGTGCCGGTGCCCCGCGCAGGGCCAGTGGTGGCGGGCGGGTCGGTGGGTGACGGCTGCGCTCTTCCCTCCGCAGGTGGCAGTCATGGAGCACCGCGGCACCTCCCCGCTTCTTCTCGCCCTCGCCCTCCTTAGCGCCCTCTGCTGGCGGGCGCGGGCTCTGCCCCCGCGAGGAGCCGCCTTCCCTCCCGTCCCTCGGTAAGGGCCGCGCTCCGCTTCGCGTACTGCTCCGCTCCGAGCACCGCCGCGGCTTGCCCTCCGCAGGGGAGGTCGAGGGGGCTGTGGGGGAGCACCAGTCTTCCACTGCGCCGATTTCCCAGGCAGCACACAGCGCGGCGCGGCGGTCCCTGTTGGGGTGCTCTCTCGGGTGCGCGTCTCCGCGCCCCAGATCGGGATGGATCGCCCCTGACCAACCCGGCCGGTGCACGCCGAACCCGGTTTTTAAAAGCCCCGAGACACGCAATGGCAGAGGATGTGCGTCGAAATATGCTGCAGGAGATGGTGCACGTCCATCTAAACATCCCGGGCTTTTCTTGCGGGAAAGGTTCTTTACCTCCGACTAATATGAATGCTAAAAATTCTTCATCATAAACGAGGGGCAGTGGTCCGTATGGACTGATGTGTAGTTTTTGTGCTTCTGCATGATTTGAATTGTTGAAGATGTTATTAACTGTTGAACTAAATTAAGTCAGATGGCAGAAATGTGCATTTTACATTTAGGCAAGAGGAACATAAAGTGTAAAAAGACCAGTGGAAAACAGTATAGCAGAACAGCATGGTCACTGGTTTGCAAAAAGTGACTTGAGTTGGCTTATTTTACACAACTTTACTTTTCTTTTTTACCAGGCAGAAGTCTTACATGCCTCAGATACATAAGTAGTGCTAATAGCTATAATGACTAATGGCTAACATTACAGGGACAGTAGCCTGTCCTGGTTTTAGAATGACTTTTGCGTATCACATGCAGGGGTTTACTGTAGTAGTGGGAGCTTGTTGTCTGCCACTGAACATAAGAGCAGCTAGAGGAAACATCTGATACCAAACTACTGCTACGCAGTAACAGCAACTTGACAAACCATAAGAAAGAGCAGGTTATGAAAATAGGAAATAACTGTAAATCAGTTTATAGAGAGCAATTGCCATGATTAAGAGGTTAAATGTGAACCTTTTTTAACTTGCAATTAGCAAATTAATTTAAACATGAAAGAATAAAATCACGCATGTAAAGATACATAACTGTACTTCATATTTAGTTTGAAGTTCTTGAGGATGTATTTACTTTCTCTAGAGATGGGCTAATACTGCTTCATACTGCATATCAATGCATGTTTTAAGTCTTAATTGGAAGGTAAGTACTTTCTAGGGACGGTTTTCACTTTGCATGGGTGGAGGCTGGTAATTCCATCCATTGTTTATACAAAATATAGTTGTCACTTGAGCTCTAATTGCCATAGGTTATGCATTGTTCACTGGAATAAATTATGTGCACCAACAACGTATGTCTAGAAAATATGCATTAGAAGGAAGGATCTGTTATGCTAATTGCCACTGAGCATGGATTATACCTGAGACTACTTTAAAATGCCTCACAGGTTAAAGTAGGTAGATGTGCATTTTGACACAAACCAGAATGTAAGCTGCAGTGAAGTGTTGCACATCCCCAGCTAACTGTACTTGACATGGTTTCCTTCTCCAACAGATTGGGAAACAGAATGCCATTTGATGGAGCCAGTGAACCTAACCATGCCCACGGGTCATTAAAGTCTGAATCAGACATTTTGCAGAACACACTACCTGAAAACGAGAAATTCTATTTTGATCTGTCTAGAATTATTGATAGGTGAGTTTCTTTATTGCTATAAATACAAATGATGACACACTACTTGAATTACGTCAAAAGATTGGTCACATTTTCAAACTGAGAAATAGGAAAGGAAGAATCAATTATAGAAAAAAGAAAAAAAGCACATGGCCTCTGGTTGCAGTAGGAATGTCTGCAGAAATGCTGATTGCATTGCCATTCTGGCATGATGAATTCACTCACTTGCCAGGAAGAGCTAGAAAGTATATTGTGAAAATCCGGAAGCTGTTTTATGAAATTAGCTTAATTCAATGTGTACAATAGATAAGGAAAGCAGTATGTTTACAAAATGAACGTTATCAAAATGATATGAACGCAGGTTGTATTGTAGAGTTTATTTATTGTCCATTTCAGAAATACAAGGCATGCTGATGGAATTTTCACCAGTGTCTACAGCCATCTTTTGGCTAAACTTGCTGTGAAGAGATATCTGCATTCGCTTATTAGAAAACGAGTTAGGTGAGGTGACACTTACATTAGGTAGATTTTTGTCCTAGCTGGCTTCACTGGCAATTTTTTACCCTTCTGTACATAAGCTTTCAGTTTTGTGATTTAGAGATAATGAAACACAAACTGATATAATGATGGGGGAGCAGAAAATCCTATATAAGATCTTAGTGGTATTTGTTACTAAATGCGTATATTGCTATTTATTCCTGATACAGCTGTGAGGGGTAGAGTGACAGACACTGCACATAACAGTAATGATAAATACTGGCAATGTTATAATGATTATCACACCAATTTGCTAATTTTTTCTTCTGGTGATGTTTTTACTAGCTTGGCAGATGAATGGCAAAAGTAAATGCAAAATGACTGATTACTCACTACTTACATAACAACAGGGGAATGCTCAATAAAATTAAGAAACGTTTGGTTTACAGCGAAAACAAGAATAATCTTTTCTTTCTCCCACTGAAGAACATATTGCCAGATGTTTGAAAGATCTGTATTACAGAAAGATTCAAAAAAGAATGAGGCAAATCCATAGATAAGGGTACTGCATGCAGCTTCCAGACCAGGATCTTTGTTGGGACGATAGGATGCTGGGAAGGATCACTGCATACTTAGTTCCCTGTTTTCACATCCCTAAGCAGCGGTTACTGGGGTCTTTTGGGAAAGGAATAGTTGAATACTTTGGTCTGACCCAACATGACCGTTCCTTTGAGCGCCTACTTCATATGCTCAAAACCTAAGTGAAAATTAGGTCCTGTATTTATGTCAATGCTGCCTTTGTTCCAGAACACAGAGTGTTCTCATACACTGTAAGCTAATACAGATCATTTAAAGCAGAACACAACAAGGCTTTTCAAGATCGTGCATGAAAAATAGTCCTCCAAGTTTAGATTTCACAAGGTGTGTTTTATCACTTGATACCTCCTTAAAACAAATGTCTGTAGCATGTTTGTGATGCTACACTTTTACTGAGAGGCAGGCTGTATTCTCACTGAGTTTAGTACGAACAGTGAGAACTTACTGTGACTTAAGCCAGTCTGCACCTGAAAAACAAAGTCAGATTATTGAAAAGACTAAGCTGGGCTATGAGGACAGGAGGGAGTCATAAAATCCATACTCAGCCTACAGAATCTCTCAGATGGGGACTCAGGAAATCATTGAATATGGATCCTAATTGCATGGAGCATGGCAGAGTTGAGCAGGAGAACAAATTCAGTGGAAGTTGTTCCTAAAAAGACTGAATACTGATCCTTAGAATTTCATTCTTGTTACTAAAAAATGTAGTTAGCAGTAGAAGCAGTGGCTTCTTTTCAAAAGAAGATAGATACAAGGTCACAGTTGGAAATTAAAGCCGAAATGAAATTTTGAATTTACTTAGCTAATCAACATTATAAAGTTTGTTTCACTAATATAATTGTATCTTCTTTTAAATGGATATTGTCTATTAATTTTTTCTTTGTAATTGTTGCATTGCCAGCTCCCAGGACAGTCCTGTCAAACGCCATTCTGATGCTGTCTTCACTGACAACTACAGCCGCTTTCGAAAGCAAATGGCTGTGAAGAAATACTTAAATTCAGTTTTAACTGGAAAAAGAAGGTACTACAAGAAAGCAGATATATATTCTTTCCATACTTGTATGGTATTAGGACAGAAAAGATTTATGCCCATGTATAGATACAGAGAGGACAAATAACAGGCAATGAACATTAATGACTTTGTAACAATTGATAACATGGTTTTCAGATACAGACAGCATTTTCTTCTAGACTGCAACAGACGCTACAATCAGATTAGAATAAAAGAATAAAGAGGAGACAGCATCTGGCAATTTTAAAAAGCTTCTGACAGATTCTTGAAATGGTTTTAGTTATAAAAAAAGACTCTTAAGGAAAAGACTGAGCTGCAGAACATGAACAACAATTTTATGAAGAAAATGTAGTATTTGTTGTAAAATTGTCTGACAGTAAATGCATAAAATGCAAATTTAGAAGTCTGAGAAAATACGTATGTCCTAGTGTATAGGTGGGACATGTCAGCATATGTTTTTATTGACCTTATATTCTGTTTGTCTACTCACTCCTTTAGAAAACTGCTTTTAAACATCACGTCTTCATCCATTAAACATGCTATTTCATGTGATGTATAACACTTTGGTACAAGTGTAACAAAATGTGCAATAGCTACACTGCTTTTTCTTCTGAGAGCAATAAATCTTATTTTTGACCCGCAACAGCCAAGAAGAGCTAAACCCTTCTAAACTTCGAGACGAAGCAGAACTTCTTGAACCTTCCTTTTCAGAAAGCTACGATTCTGTAGATGAGCTGCTGAGCCACCTCCCGCTGGTATGCCCAGATTTTCTGTCCTCTTGCTATTACTTGGCTTGACCCATAAAATGAGACTATGCGTACATGAAATGTGGCCTATCAGAAAAGTGGAATCATCTAGGAAAGAGCCACGTTCCATGAAACGCTACATGTTTCCGTAGGAATTGTGTCTGAATATAATAATCATTCTAATAACATTAAGTTATCCCATGGTTACTGTTATTGAAAATTCCTAATTAAATGGCACTGTTAATAATGCACTTAACTCACTTGGGGGTTTCAACTTGTGTGCACTGCAGCATAAAACCAGAATTGACTCATTTTTAATTACAAAGATTATTATTTCTTCAGAGAACAAAATCAAGGATATTCCTTTTAATTAAAAAAAAAATAATCTATTTTATTGGAAGGGAGTTGCCCCTAAAACTAAGAGGATCAGCAACATGAGCCCTAAACATTAAGAAAGCACTTGACTCCAATCTTAGGTGTGTTGCGAGGGATCGTCTGACAAGCAAATACTGCAGTTACTGCTTTCCATTTAGCTACTACTATTTTTCTAAATGTCATTCACAAATACGTTACTTTGTTTTACCAAAATGTACCTGAAAGGGTAATGTAGAAGTGAATCGGGCTTATTTTTCTGAAAAGCGTATTATGAAATCGATGACAGGCTATTTTTTTGACACTCCGCTGTGTCTCAGCTACAAGTAAGAAAGAAGGCTACTCTTGAAGATAGCATCTGGGGAAGAGGGGAGATAAAAGGTGTTTCTCCAAACTGCTATTTCCTTCCAAGTCTGAAAGGAAATGTTTTCTTTTTCACAAACATGGCAGTTCCTCCAAAGTTCCTAAAAATTAGAAGGAACATGAACTGCTTATACCTTAAGGAACAAAATAATTTGTAAGTGATGGGGTTCTGGAAATAAATGTTCTTTCTAGAGAAGATTGTTGCAAAAATACTTGCTTCTGGTGCAGTATTTGCACCTTCTAAAACTTCTGGCACTGACCAAGTGAGAGAGTGTAGTGGTGCTGTCACAGGTGTTTTCCTGGCCATATTTTCAGTCTTTTCCTTTCTTATGGGCTGTAGTGATGATCCAGATCTCCCTGGAGGTAAATCACTTACCCAGTATTGACTATTACCAGTCATTTTGTCCCAGTGCCCTCTTGCCGATGTGGTGTGTGTATCAACCAACCTGAATTTGAGTATCCATTTCAAGGATACAATTGTTTTCAAATTTAGCTATTCTGTGCTGTAGGAACATATTTGCCTAATCCTTCAACATTTTTTCCTCATCCTGCAGCCTTGTCTGATAGCTGTAATGCCCACCAAAGTCTAGTGAATAGCTCCATCTCACGCCCGTTAGTCCCAAGTGCAGCAAATGTATTAGATCAAGGCTTATTCTTGTCCTCTATCTGCTTTTATACTTCTCACAATGCAACTGCTTACAAAATGTTTTTTAAAACATAATTCTCCTTTGCTTTTCAGGACCTCTGAAGGACACCTGGTAAAGTCTATGACAAGAACAAGCTATTTTTGAGTTCCACATAGTATTTCAAAGAGATGACTTTAGTCATCAAACCAGAACAAATATGTTGTGAAGTGAAAGTTGTGATATATTTGTTTCTTATGTAATAAAAGTTGATATTTACATTGTAAATACTAGAGTTCTCTACTGAAAGCTGTACATATGGATGCCAGTTTAACTCATGAGAAGTCTGTGAGTCCATATGCTGTAAATCCTTCAATAAATTCATTTGAAAATGAGTGTGCAGCTGAAATGAGCTCATCATTACTAATTTAATGGCTTATTTTAGGTGTGGTACAACCAGATAAGCCCATATGATGATAGGGATACATTTCCAGATAGCTTCATAAACAAGTGTAAACACATGGGGAAAGTAATAGGCAAAGTATGTAAAGCAGCATTACAAAAGTCTCTGCAAGTCATTGCCAAGCAAAATGGAATGCTTTTCTAGCAGTTTACAATGCAACTTGAGAATATGAAAAAGTGGTAAAAGTTATTTGACTTCCGACAGCATCTTTCCCTCCTGTCCACATTTTTGATGTCTTACAATATACCAATTACATTAAGACCGGAAATGTATCCTTCCTTTTGAGTTGTGTTTTGGATGCTCTGGAGATGGTGAAGCACACGAAGAATGCTGTCCCTTGATTCGTTTGATCCTAAAGTCACCAGTTATTCTACATTTAGTTGTCTGTAGCTTTGATAATGAAACTATTCCTTCTACACAAAACAAATCTGAAGACACTTTACTATTTTTTTTCAGAATGAATGTAATTTACAGAATGTGCAGGTAATAATTAATTTTATTATCATGTCAGACTAGTATTGGTTTGAATCAGTGCTACACGTATCTGGAGCAGCAGAGGTCCCAATAAGTGCTGTTTCTGCTGTAGTAGTAGAAGAAGATAGTATTTTTTAACTGAGGTATATACTGTGTTCTGTAAGAAAGACAAGCAAGTAAGCCTTCAGTCCCCATTTAGATTTATATCTTTGTAGCTAAGTATGCAACTGGAAATTTGCAGCTCATTCACTGTTGCTCTGAGTCAGAATCTGGTTGTATTTTATTAAAACTGTAGATTTAACCGATTGGATCATGTTCTAAAGAATTACTGTTTTAAAGACCATTATGGTAAGGAAAGTGTGCATGCAGAACATAAGAAATGTATATTAATGCATAATACCAGGCATAATACTCCCATGACTCTCCTCCCACCTCCTAGAAAGAGATGGAAGTAGAAAAACTTATCAGACCTACTTAGAAGTTCAATTTGGATTTTCAAGTATATTTATACATCATACATATGCACACATAGACAGTGATAAAACTGATTTACAAGTTTCAGTTACAAGTTTACTGTTCTCATTTAGAAGGAAGCTTCAAACACGATAAAATATGAGATTTATGGAGACTAGTTCTCATAAATATGTAGGCTTCAGATCTGCTTTTTTTTTGTTTTTTGTTTTTTTTGAATATTGGTAACTGCATGTCAAAAGAAAACCATCTTACACAGATCAGATGCTATAATCGCTATTTCTATCTAGCCTTGGCAGAATTTATTTTAGCCTAAACTAATGAATGGTCACAAAATTTAGACATAATTTTGAAGTCTTCTTTTGAGAAGTGGTCCATGCTTACTTCCTATCTTATGAAAATCTAAGTGCAGAAGTGGCTTTGAAAATACTTGAAGGATACAATCGCACTGATGTCACACTACTTAATCATAAATTTTCTTCAGTGTATTTGGAACTTTGTTGTAATTTCTGTGATAAATAATCTTTAAAAAAGGTGAAAAAAAAAATTTACCAGAAACAAAGCTGCACACAATCTTCATACACAGAACATTTTGTTTAAATATACATACTGTTCATTCACTCACTTGAAAGTAACAAAAATTAGACTGATCAAACTTTGGACTCCACGGTTCCAGATTTTTTTCCCTAAATTTGCTTTTGCTTTAATTTATTTCCAATTTACCAGTAAGAAACCTGATAGAAGAACTTGTCTCCCATGTTTAATGTTTATTCTCCCCAATATCTTAATCTCCAGACAAAACCACAGAACCTTAGAAGATGTATTTTCTGTTACAAAGGAGATGGAATGCATTACTGGAAAAAAAGGATGTTTATTAGGAAATCATACATATAAAATAAATATTTAACAACTTCAATGTAATAACTAATACTTTGGTAGCTTCCTCAGACAGTTAGTAAGTACAGTGTAAATGGCATGCCGAATTTATGTACGGTTTAACAAAATACAGTAGTGAAAGGAGATGGTAACCTCCAGAATAACATACATGACAATATTTGTGTTAAAAGATGGCTTTTAACTTGTCATAGCAACTTTTGACATTCTATAGGAGATACAGACCAGTTAATACACTGAAACTAGTTAATTGTGGAAGATGAAGCATTCTTCACCTCATCTCCACAGGCAAGTGGTTATAGCAAGGTTAAATTATAAATTTGAAGAGGAAATTGCAATGTTCACGCAGTGAGACAAATTTTTAGTCTGTCAATGAGCCTTGACATGTCGCCAATCTTATAATCCACCTGCAAAATGTCATAAGAGTGGAATCAGTGTATTAATTAGGTGAATGAAAGGGGCAGACCTGAAGAGAATGTCAAGAGGACTGCTAGGAGGAAAAAAATACTTGTGAGATTTAGAAAAGCATTGCTGGCAGAGAGAATACAACCACTCAGAAGGAAGGAATAGAACTGTGGAGGGTTATTGGGATATATGTTTAAAAAATATTTCATCATGTTTCCCCAGAATTTCACTTCTAACACAGGATAGGTACACCTGCCATCGTAGAGGCTAGAACATATTATTTTTTTGTTTTATTGAATGGGGTTTGCTTTTCAGACCTACCTCATGGAGCTGTTAATGTAAGGGTCAGAACCACTTTGAAATGCATCTTTATCGGCACTAGAAGATGATATTTTCTGGTATTGAAAGCACAGAGAGGTTTTGCATGCTTTCGTGCATGTGTACAATCATTACCCACTCAAGAGCAACCCGCAGGATTGTGTATAAAACCATGAGAAATACAAAAGTTGACAAAACATTTTAAAATTACAGCTGCTAAAAATACATTAAAAATAAATAAAACCCTAACAGCTCCTCTGATATTTTTAATAGCTTTGATGGGCTATGAGTATTTGTTCCACATAAAAGTCTGAGATAAAATTTTTGGTTAAAAATATGAAAATGGATAACTTTGATCCAAAACATTGGTGTAACTTCATGTATAAGGGTATTGAACTCTTCCCAAAGACAGACGTTTTGGTAAGACATATTTGTGTACATGAGTCATTTATTTGCTTGCAAGGTATTAAGGTAGCTAGAAAAGGCTGTCCATTGCCTCTTGTGATACTACCAATCCTTTCCACTACTTCTTTTATTTTCTTTGTTTTTTCTCTCCCTCCTCCACTTACCACAAGCTTACCCTCTATTTGTTAATACTCTCACCCTTGGCTTACAGAGGTAGTGTATGAATGTGTACCTATGTTTGTGAGAGGAACAATTGCAGTAGACCTTAGATTTATGGTGCAGCAATCTAATAACTGCCAGCCTTGGTTATGGAAATGAATACTGCAGAAAACCTGGCACAAGCAGATTTGCAGGAGCAACCTGTCCTGCTCACATACAGCCCCTGACTTCCTACTGGAGATTTCCCATTTGACACACAAACAAACACAACCACACACAAAAAAAAAAACCCACAAAAAACCACAAACCCAAAACAACCACACCAACAACCCAACCCAGTTCTAAGCAACCAATTTTGCTTCTTATTAGGGAGCATAGAAAGCAAACTGCTGTATTCTAGGAAGACCTTTTATGACAAATCTAAGGATATATAATTCATGCAGAAAGTCTGAATCTTGGAAAGAAAGTAAGAAGTGTTTGAAAAATTCCAAGTTTGGTGCTGATGGCCTCAGTCCTGTCTAGTGATTTCCCTCTGGAGCATTGCATTGTGCTTGGCATCACAAAGCTGGTGCCAGAGCTCTGACCTTGAGAAGTGAAACATGGACTAAAAAAGAAAGAACTGGTAAATATTGAGATAAAGCAGGTGAAGATTGTGTCTTCCAAAAAAGTACCTGGTGTTAAACCTAATTTATATGTGGCTTTTTGTTTTCTATAGATCAAAGACTCCTGCTTTGAGAAGAAAGGAGTCATCTCTTACTGTAAGATGACCTCACATCACACAAGTCAATTCATTAACAAATTCTACCAGGAGCAGAGCTGGGTTCTTTATCCCTTAATTCTGCTGCTGCATGGCAGCTTCTGGATCTAGTGGCTGTACTTATTTAGAACATTGATTTAACTGGCAGCCAGTCACTGTCAAGTGTGCGACAGACAACTTATCAACCACTTGTGACCATGCCAGTGCCCTCATTGTAAGAATACTATTATTCTTCCCAGGAAGTTGCATTCCTAGGTCTATTTATAGATTGCATTTCCCTCCAGCCTTTGCTTTGTTAGGCTAAAGAAATAAAGTCTGTCTTGTCTTATATTGTAAATGAATCTCCATTCATGGTTCTGGAGCACCATGTCCGGAGGGGTCAGGTTCCAGAGTGGGTTTAAGACTCCTAAATTAGAGTTTACCAGATGCAGCTTTGAAATTACTAAATTACTCTGAACATCTCTTCTTTATTGCTGTTGTTTTGGAAGAGTGATTTTGAGGGCCTCTGTTTAGAAAGCATTGGAAAAGCTGGTTTTTTCAGTCTGGATTTTTTTTTTTTTATTGCTTCTTAAACATTTCTGAATTTACAAAAGATGAGGAAGCAGAGTTACCAAGCACTTGAAATACGATACTGTTTTTGAGGTGGGTGGAGGGAGAGCCATTCAGTCCCATTTGAAATGCATGTAAAGGAAAACTGGATTCTTAAACAGGCAGATGCCTAAGTTATTAGGTAGTTTCACCTAGATCTCTGGATACATCCTTTTACATGGCTATAGGCTGTATTTTTTAATCCAATTTCCTTAATCCTGCAATTGAGGGAGATGACAAATGAACCCCTCATGCTGCCTTTCTTTCATGTGCAATACTTGGAAGCCAGCTGACTGCAGCAGCACCCCTGTCCCTTTGCTGGCTTTTGCCAGGGTAAGGAAGGGAAATGAAGGCCAATTTACAGCAAAAGCCTAGCAGGTTATTGAGGAGATTAGGATAAAGAGAGCTATATGTCCTTTGACTTATTGTGTGAGTAATTACTGGCATAGGTTACTAACTGA